TTACTCTTAGAACCACTCGAGGTTCTCCTTACGGTTGTTGAGCTTGTCACCGTCAATGTGTCTGACCTTCGTCTTCTTGTTTGGATTTGGAACCCATTGAATTGCGACAAGCTTGCCCATGGAAATTGAACCGCGATTCCGAAGGGTAAGGTTCAAGTGTCCCAAGTTGTTGAGGACTGGGGTAAGAACCTTGCCTGTCTCCCTGTTGCGGATTTGGTATGGGTAGGGTTGGGAAATTTCATAACCGTCATCCGCAACAAGGGTTGCCCAAACTTCCTCTTCTTCGTGTTTCTCTTCTTCCTCTTCCTCTTCTTCGTGTTTCTCTTCTTCCTCGACAATTCCTTCTTCAATTTGGTACTCACGAATTACGGTGTTGGAGGTTCTGTCCTTTCCGAGTACCTTCCAGATGGCGTCTATCTCTTCGAAGAAACGGTAGATGAGTCTGGCAAGGTCTCGGTTTCTCTCTCGTAATGCGCAAGGTTTCCGTCAAATCGTTCAGGCATTTCTCATTGGAAGCTTGGTTCATGAGGACATCGGCTTTGAGCTTGGTCATCTCTTCCATAAGACTACTTTGGAGAGTCTTAACGGTGTTTGTCAGATGAGCTTTCAAATTCAAAATTTGAATTTGAACTGGGCGCTTGTCTGGCAACATTGAAAGGACATCTGCCATTGTGTTCGGCTTCGGTGCTTGTTCGGACATCGAAAAAATGAAGTGGTTTGAGAATGACGGTTTTACTTCAAAAAGCTTGTTATGACGGTTAAGTCATACAACAAGTTTAAAATAATATCTTGTTCTTCTTCTGAACGTTTGTTGTCTCTTCCGATAAAAGTTTCGAACATGAGAACCAAAAAACGTTTTTTGAGATTGCGGAAGAGTTCAGGCAAACGTTCATATTCTGGATATGTTGGGAGCAGTTCAAAACATCTGAGCTGACTTTCGGACAAAATTGGGACAATGTCAGAAAATTCATCTTTGGTCGGACTGCTTGAAGGTAAGTCCCTTACATGTAAGTAGCTCTGGTAAAGTCTTCTCATTTCTGCTAACTTTTGGAGTATAGCTTCGTAGTTTAGAAGTTTTAATTTTAATTGTCTTATTCCACTCTTTACTTCTAAACGGTAACTATCCATGAGGTCAAGAGTAGCTTTGGTAGCTTTAAGTGGAGCTATCTGTTCCTTGACTTGTGCAATTTTGGTTGCAATTGTGGTTTGAGCTCCTTCAAGTTCGCCGTCTATGTCGTTCTCAACACCTTCAACCATAGCTTGAAACTCTTCATCGGTCCATTGAGATTGGTGTGGGACGAATTTAACTTGCTTCATTCAAAAAAGAAAAAAAAATGTTTTTACTCAAAGCGTGCCATATAGATGGCTATAAGAAACTTACCAGAAGGCTTCTTCTTCACATGAGTCTTCGGCAACTTGAGTGTTGGTGTTGGAGTTGGGTCTGGAATTTCAATTCTCTCTCGAGCGCAACAACAGATGTCAGAATAACATTCCCCACTGTCTTTCTTGCCACCATAAATTGTGTATTGACCGAACTTGCATTTGCAGGAAGACCGGTCAATACAAGGTTCACAGTTGAAATAGTTGTACACAAACCTGTTGAGTACGAGTGTGAGTAAAAACATAAAAAAAGTGAAGTTAAAATGAGATGTTTACTGAATTGGTTGGATGTCGCCTTCTGAGGTTATGAAGAACGGCTGTCCAGAGTAGTGAAGTAGTGCTCTGAGAATTTGTGTAATTCGTGGAATTGGGCTCTCACGATATGGAAGTAGTATCCAAGGACGTTTCATGAAGAACTTCAAGAGGGCTTCTTTCTTCACATCCTTAATATCATCGAATGCAGTGCCTTCTGGAACTTGAATTGCAACACCTGTTTCAATTTCCAACTTTAAGACACTATTCTTGGACAACCAGAAGCCAATGGACTTGCTTGGTTTGCACTTGCAGAGATATTCCTTCACGGTTTCATTTACCTCAATTAGATAAATTGCTTCGTCTAAGGGGTCAAGCTCCATACTGAGTCAGTACAATATTGTACTTTTTCAAGACAATGTTGTACTTTTTCAAGACAATGTTGTACTTTTTCAAGACAATGTTGTACTTTTTCAAGACAATGTTGTACTTTTTCAGAACAATGTTGTACTTTTTCAGAACAATGTCTCTCAAATTTGAGTACAGCTGTACTTTTTCAGAACAAGTCTTGAACTTTTTCAGAACAATGTTGTACTTTTTCAAGACAATGTTGTACTTTTTCAAGACAATGTTGAACTTTTTCAGACAATGTTGTACTTTTTCAAGACAATGTTGTACTTTTTCAAGACAATATTGTACTTTTTCAAGACAATGTTGTACTTTTTCAAGACAATATTATATTGTTTCAGAACAAAGACGGTTAAGACACAAACGAATGTCCGACGTCCCACCTACTGAACCCGTTCCACAGCCAGAAGAACAGCATGCTCCAGCACCACAACAGGTTCCACCTCCACAAGGCTACCCACAGCAACCTCAGTTCCAACAAGGACCTCCGAATTACTACCAATTTCCACCTCAAGGTTACTACCCACCACAAGGCTTTACTACCCACCACAAGGCTTTCCAAACTACCCTCCTCAACCCATGCCTTACTTCCCTAACCCTTGGATGTTCATGTCAAACCCTCCACCCCAATTCCAATCTCAATCCCAATCGAAGAGAGACCAAGAGTTCGAAGAAGGTCTGAACCGTTTACGCAAAGAGTATGCCACAGCCCCTATGGAAGATGACAGGCTTTCAGTCTCTTCCCTAAGGTCGACCGATTCGACTCGTACCACAGATTCGGTTCGTGACCGTGAAGACTACCTCAAGCAGTCTGAGAGACTCTTCATCCTACAACCATTTACAGTTGGAGCTCTCAAGAACATGCGCAATTACGAAGGTCAGACACCAGCTGGAGACCGCAAAACAGACGTACTCGCAAGAGCAGTCCAACTGGTCAAGACAAAGACGAGATAGTCGACTTCATTCTTGCAGCTTGCCCATACAAGTAAAAAAATAAACAATTACGAGTTAAACTTTTTACTCTTTCTTTTCTGAGTTGTTTAGAGCTGGTTTCTCTTGTAGAAACCTTTCGTACTCTTCCATGGTCATGTAATTGCGAATTTGGTACGCAATTCCAGGTTCGTTGTTTTTGAACCTTACGTATGTAACGCTTCCATCCTCCTCAGGGAAGTAAGCTGCTAACATCTGACCAAGTTTTCTCGGTGACTCGGAGCTCATAAAAATGTCACTTTTTAAACGTTAAGTTTTTAGTCTTATTTTACCCTTTTTACCCTTTGTTTACCCTTTGTTTGTCAAGGTAGTATTGGAGTGCAATTTCTCCAAATTCTCTGTGTCGGAGTTCTTCAGCATTTTCCAAGGTGTCCTGGAGAACTCAAAGAAGTTGTCAAGAACATACTGCCATGCTGCTCTTCTGAGTTCGTCGGTATTTTGGAAGTGTTGCACCTTCGAGTCTTCGGACATGAAAAAATAACACTTTTTCTATTAAACCGTTTACAATTTGAATTTTGTTGCTGAATTCAGCAAAAATATAATTTAGGGTAGATGGGTATATCTAACCTCTTTTCTAACCTCTTTTCTACCTCATGAATTTTCATGAATTTTATACAGAAAATGCTTGTTTTGAGGTCGAGCCACTTTTGGCTCCACCGTATTCTTTCAACCAAAACTCATGAATTCGGCAAAAATATATTTTAGGGTAGAAGGTTAGATATAACCTCTTTTCTAACCTCTTTTCTACCCTCTTGAATTTGTCATGAGTTTTCCCGAAATAAAAAATAAAGTTGGTTTTTTTAAAAAAATATTTTTTATTTTTATTGTAAGAACATGTTAGCAACAACAGCACCAAACTCGTTAGTCATGAACCCAACTTCAATGTTAGTAGAGATGAAAAGCTTCATTCCTTCTTCATATACTTTCGAAACAAAAATCCAGAAGATAAAGCAAGAACTTTTAACAAGTATTTGACTGTTGTGCGAAAGATGAAACAAATGAACAGTATCTTTATGAAATGCAGGATATTATTGACCATTTACCCAAATTGCCTGAAATCCAACAACAAAAGCTACTATTCCAGAATTCGATGAAATAGAAGTCAAAGCAACTGACTCAGTAGAAATAAAGAAGTTCATACGAAAGGTTAACTATGAGTTTCTTGGATTTCATTGCAACCACAAAGTCATGGACAAAGATTGCGACATGGTATATAAGAACATCTCTGACATATACAAATCTGAGTTTAAGACCTACGACAACTTTGTTTCGTTAGTTGCAAAATGTGTATGGCAGATAAGAGATAAAGATAGAAGAGGTAAGTATGGAACGAACAGATAAAACCCGCAACTTTTGAGTTAAAGAAGCAATTGACGCCTTAGTCATACTAGCAGGTAAGATTTCAATGTACAATGCTAAAATGAACCCACAATGTTCAAAATGTAAAGCAGCAATGAGGAAATATAACTACTCCGTCAAAGAGATAGAACGTATGCGAAACGACTATGCTGACTTAAAGAAAGAAGTAGAGAAACCAGCAGAAGATAAAATGGACATGTTGACATTTCTGAACAAAAACTATCCAACAGCTGACGATTTCCTTCTTCAGATGTCAAGAAGAATATAAAGAAACCTTCGGCATGTTAAAACATTCGATGTACTGACAGAAGAAATAGAAGCTACGAAATTGTTTAGAATTTCACGAATTCACAATGTTTACCATGTAAAACGCTTATAAAATAACTGGGGGAAATGAGGTAGAAAAGGGTAGAAAAGAGGTATATCTAACCTTCTACCCTAAAATATATTTTTATTGAATTCTGAGTAAAATTCTGAGTAAAATGACATATGGAACACGTACTTTTTCAGTAAGGACATATGGGGTAGAAATGAGGTTAGAAATCGGGTTAGATATACCCATCTACCCTAAAAATATATTTTTATTGAATTCAGCACAAAACTCTTTATTTTTATTGACTTTTTACAATTTGAACTTTGTTCGCGTAGATGTGAATTCTGAAAGAAGTATGAGGGTCTTGTATGACTTTGTACTTCTCCCATAGTTCATGTCTGTCAAACTTACCTGCCATGGACTCTTTCATAAGTTCCATGAAATCGTCTTCGGACAATCCAGGGAAAAGTATGATATCAGTAAGTATTCTCTTTACATCCTTACTTAAACTCTTTGCTGTCTGTACACAAATGACAACTGAGATGTTAAAGTGTCTGAGCTTCTTAAGAATTCGACACATGTCTTGTTCTCTGTTCTTTAACAAAGGATGAGAGCAAATCATCTAAGATAAGAAGACATCTATGAGGGTAAGTCTTCCAATCGTAAGATTGCAATTTCTTCGAAATGTATTCTATCTCTTTCTGTTTGTTTCTGAAGTGTTTCTTCTCTAATATTCTCTGCATTTCCTCATTTGGGTCTTTAAACTTAGAATTTATATACTCATTTATAGCATTGTACTTCAAAACTCTTCTTTGGTACTTCTTTATCCAATCTAACAACTCAGAGTCTTTTATACATACTAACTTAGACTTTTTATAATATCTTTGAACGAATTACGGTTTGGTCAAATTGACCAGAAGTACTACAAATGACTACTAACTCATAGAATGGGTTCTTCTCATCTAGTTCTTGTTGTTGTGCAGCCATTTTAAGATAAGTGAAAGTCTTACCCGACCCAGGTGGTGCAATTAGACCTGTTATACCATTCTGAGCAAATAAGAACTTGTCATGTATGGGTTTTATCTGAGCATTTTCTAACTTCCTCTTGTTCTTGTTTAAAACATTCTCAAATTTCTTGTCAATGTCAGCAAACTTTTTTTCTAACATATTTTTAGAAAAATTAAAATTTTTATCTTTTAGAAAATGTCTAGCGATTTCGCTATCTATATTCGAGACAAGCTTTTGACTCAAAACTTCTGTCGACCATAAAATCTTACATAGTGTAAACAAGAAAGGTGAATTTGTTCTAAAGTTCTGTTTCTGGGAATATGACAAGAACCATAAAACATTACAAAGAGCAGTCTTAAAATTTGTCAATGACAGACTTGTTGACAGAGATGACGCCGATTGGAAAGATGAAGTCCAACAAAAGTTCTTAGAATGCAAAGAAGACACATGCGCTGTTCTTGAAGATGAAATAGAAAACAGAATAGAAGAGCTATTAAAGGACAAAGAACTTTTACATAAATATGGTTCGAGAAATTTGACATAACTCCACCAGAAAGAAGAAGAAGAAAAGAAAGAAAGAAAGAAAAGAAAGTAGAAGAAGAGAAGAAAGAACCTGAACCATTCCAGAGAAAAAGAAATTTGACATGTAAAAATAAAATTTTATTTTTAGAACATTTCTGGGTCAATGTCAATGTTCTCTTCCTCTTTAGGAGCAAACACTGGCTTAGACTCTAAAATCTTTTTACCCAATTTACCTTGAACTTCAACTATCTTAGACTCATAATATTCATAGTCGTCTGCTTTCTTTGGTTCATAAGGTATAACAAGTTTGTATGCTTTGCCTTCTTCGAGTTTTGAGAACTTTCTGTCAAAATTTTCTTTGACTGCTAACAAACCTTCTATGTCTAAGTCTTCAAATTTCGCACCATTTTTAGTCACAATAGCAAACTTAACGGGTTCGATGTTCCAAACTTTGTCATATGTAGACTTTTCAAAATGGTAGAAGTAAACATTCAAATATATGAATGGGTCTAGTTCTTCTTTAAGTCCTGACATGTACTTGTTGACTGAAATATATTTCGTCATCTTTTCTATCGGATAAAAAAATATTTTTTTTAAAATTTACTCATAAAAATTATTTCTTTGTATATACGCCGTTCTGTATGTCTAAAAGATTTTTGACATTTGCCAAGAATGTTCGTTTAGACGCTGCCATATAACCATATTCTTGACAATATTGTTTATATTCATCGTACAATGACCTTTCATCTAAACACTCAAAGTTAGTCTCATCTATAAACAGTTCATATACACTCTTGTTTGCTTCTAACAATGTTTGTCTCTCTTCGGTATATGGAATTTGTCTTGGATTGAACTTAGAAATATCTAATGTCATAAAATATGAGAACAAGTGGTTGTAAAAGTCAGATGTCAAAGTTTCTGCTAAGTCGTCAAAATATTCTGTATCTTGCATATGAGAATCTGACGTTCTGACAACTACATATCTTCTGTCAGAACTTTCTAACTTCATCGGAACAGTATTGTTTGAAACCATAATGAAGTTTGCAACATTTTCACAAACTCTTTGGTCTTTATATTTTCTTTCAACAACTCCAACTTTGTCTGTTATAAGACTCTTCAAAGCATCTGAGTTCAAAACTTTTGTTGTATCTATACTTTGAAGTTCGTTACATACTATAAGTTTCATATTCTCTATTGAAGAGTTAAATTTACCGCAGATGTTTTCTAAGTTTGTCATATTAGGGTTCGAATAGCCCTCTAACAGTTTGCACAAAATATCTGTAAAGAAAGTGTTCTTACCTGTTCCTTGTTTTCCAATTATAATGAGAGCAGTTTCATTTTTAGCACTTGGATATTGTAAGATGTTTGCAAACCAACATAAGATATACTCATAGACTCTTTCGTTTCCATTGCATATAATTTCTTTGACATGGTCTAACCAAGCTTCTATAACATTTTCTTTCCATTCTACTTGTTCGTATTTATATCCAGTGAAGATAGAATAGAAGTTTGGAGATGGTGTATAGAACTTTATACCACGAACTGAAAAATCTTCTAACTTCGACAATAAGATATCCCAAGCATCTAACATCTTCATACCAACCTGTACAACTTTTATTTTCTTAAGTTTCTGTCTACATTCTTGTTCTGAAACTATTGTCGCTCTTGGTTTGTTAAAGACAACATCCCATTCTTTCATGACATAACATTCTGGGGCAGAGTCAACATAAATGACTAAACGTTTCAAATTCTCGACTGCTTTGTTATAGTCTCTAAATGGACACATATTTCTGAACGCTTGGAAGTCATAAAAATCTGAAACGTCTATTCTGTACATTTTTATAAAAATAAAAAAAAATATTTTTTTTATTCTTGACTTTGTTGTTGCATTTGTTGCATTTGTTGTTCTTGAGCTATTTGTTGTTGAAGTTGTTCTTGTAGTACAATACTTTCACCAGTTGCATCTTCCAATTCGAAACTTTCTGCCGTCATTGACAAATACATAGGACATAAAAGTTTTACAGGAACAAAGTTTGCGTCAACTAAGGTTAAGTTTATGTTTGCTAAAGTGTTTGAGTTTACTAAAGCTGAAAACTCTGCATTCGAATGAACAATAGGCAAACCAGCAGAGAAAGTGTTGTTTATACGCATGAGTATCTTTTGGTCATAGTAGTTTCTGTCGACATTCGAATAGCACTTTGAACCTAAGTTTGAAACAATATATAAATAGGTGTACTTAAAGTCAATGGAACAGACACCTTGTATGACACCTTTTCCTGTTATAGGAAACTGTTGGTAGTAAAAACCAGATATAAGTTTTGTATTATAGCTCATATCGTTTATAGTAAACTCAGTCGGACATCCAAACATAATGAAACCTGCTCTAGTTGCAGCACATGTTACATCCGTCCTTAAAGTATTAAATAAGTCAACAAAACCTGTTGGTGGTATATCTGAGTAAGTATCTTCAAAGAAGTATTTTTTACCATTCACAACAAACAAAGTCTTCTGGTGTCAAAAGAGCAAAACAGGCTTTAGTCGTCATGTGTTTAAGGTCAGTTTACAATATCGTCCTTGAGGACTTTGTAAGTTTGTTGTTATAGAATTATATGACTCAGGGTTTTTAGTCGTAATAGTATAAACCACTATGTCTTCTGCCATTTACTTAGCAAGTAAATTTTAATGAAATGTTGTGGTCGTCAAATATTTTTATGACGTCTGGGAAACTATATTTTAAGTTCAACGTTTCACCTCCTTTCATAACGTATATCTTGTCAATGACATTATATGAAACACCACAGCAACTAACGTCGGGTTCTATTTCTTTGATGTTTATATCGTCTGCCTCTGTCAAAAGTTTCAATAGTTCTTTCAAAATTTCATGAGGTGCGATGACATATGAGTTCACTTTTACAGGGTTGTGTTCGACCAAGTTTAACATTATACCAAAGCTTGACAAATCTTCTCCTGAGTTTTAAGTTTGTCTTTAAGTTGTTGGTAGTCGTTTCGAATATCTGCAACAGAACTTAAGTCTCTGCTAACTTCAGGTATGTTGGTTGTTCTTTTACAGGAACTATTGTTATACCATCTTCGTCTTCGTATGGTTTCCCCACTTCAACATCTCTTTCTTTGACATTGACAACAACACTTTGACTGTTTGTTTGAGTTGGTGAATTTAACTTCACATCTGCCACCGCCATTAAACCTTTTGAAACACTTACGCTTCTATTTTTCGGAAATGACATTTTACTTAGAATAAAAAGATGGACGTATTTGAGTATCTCTTCGAATTGAAGCAGAACAAAGTTTACACACACAAACAATACAATCATTGACAGAATAGTTCTTTATACAAACAATGGAAAATGTTATAGAATAGCAGTCTTTGCTGAACCAAAATATTTTCATAAAGCAAAGAAAGTTGGTATAACTGAAATGGTGAAAGTTCTTGAAGCAGACAAAAATATAACAACAAAACTGACCGATATTTCTAAAGGTAAGTTTATAATACAATATTATATCAAAACTGGCGTACTGTCAATATTTGACGGAGAGAAGTCAGTTCAAGAACAACTTACTGACCTGCTGCCAAAATCTGCTCGATGGAAGCTGTCGTTATGCCAATCTGAGGAGCCCCAGCAGGTTTCATCGAACGAATCTTCAAAAGAGCATCTTCCGTGAAAAGTGCTATTGGTTTTGTAAACTTCTTTGCTTTCAATTCATCTGGACCGTCTCTGTCACCAGTATATTGTATTTGAACTGTACCAACAGTTGAAATACCACCCATAAAGTCTTCTGAGTCAGCAAATGGAATGCCAAGCCAAAAGTTTGAACGGTCTCCATTTGTATATTGAGTTTTTGACCTCCTGTATGAGTCCATACTTTCACATATGGCATAATAGAACTTTGCATTTCAGGGTTAATGGTTGTTGTGAAGTTGTTGTTAAAGTTCATAGCATCTAATGTCAAGTTGTATGACCTCATATCCTCAACTGTAGAATATTCTTCTCTTGGATAGTATTTGCCATCTATGTTTATATGGTATTTAATACCAGGGTTGTAGAAGCAAGAATAGTCATTTATAGTTCGTCTGAACAGTACAAACATAGTATCTGCATGTTTCATTGCAGTTGTTAAAGCAATATCTGTTCTTGCACCTGGGTCAGCACTTTGGTTTCCAACTTCACCTGCAAAGTCTTTGACAGATATTTGGTGTATAGGGAACATAAGTGGAACTGCAATATATTTGGCAGCTAAAGCATTTGAAATATCTGGGTCCAACATATAGACTGCAAGTCTGCTTTCTATTCTCTTGCATTCAAATTTTTCGCATGTGAACTTAACTGGGTCCCAAGCATTCCAGCAGCATTGAAATAATAGTTTACTTCAGTGTTGAGGTTTGAGAAACCAAAGTCTAAGTCAACTTTGTTTTTGCAAAAGTCGGCGAATGACGTTTATTTGCTCCCTACTTCTGTAAGAGTGAATGGGTCTTGTGTTGGTGCAATGACTAAGTTATTTTTGCTTGGAGTAAGTTCGATAGAAATTTTTCCTGCCCAGTTTGGCAAGTATCTTAAAAACCTGAAGATGAGGAAAGATGACAAAGGAACTCTAAGTTTCATTTTACTTTGGTTACTGCTGCTGCAGTTTGTCCAGAAAGGTTAACATAAACTCCTGGAACGTTAGGGTCAAGTCTTCTTATTTTCTCAATAGTTGCATACTGGTCTGTTTGTTCTCTAGCTTGTGGTTGTACTGAGTTTCTCAAAGCGAACCATTCATAGTTTGCCCATGTTACTGTTTGAACTAAGTCAGAGTTAGAATATATCTTATATCCCATGAAAACTTCTGGAGCATATTGGTATCCGACATAGAAAATTCCATTGCAACCTTTCTTGTCAGACAACTTGGCAGAAGGTTTTATTTCAATGTCTTGTTCCACGTATAAGAAAGAGTTGTCAATAGAAATTATATGAAACCTGTCGCAAGCAATATCTACTGTTGTTGAAGAACCTTCTCCAAACTCACCTACGTTTCCATAAGAAACAGCAGTTGTATATTCGTAAGTTCCAGGAACTATTTCTGACCTTCTAATGGCATTGTCGCATTCGTTATACCATTCGGAAACATTTCCATTCATAGCATCCAAAACTGTTGGCGTTATATTCTGAGCGGCGTACATTTCATATGAGTAAAAATATAGAATAGTTGGATTTATATGTCATAATAGAACCCACGTGGACCAAGCTTTACTTTCTTCCTGACTGAGTTTTTAACTCTTCTTTTTCCTTCATTGCCCTCTGCTTGAAGTTGTTGCATCTTTGCATTATGTTCATCTAGTATGTTGCAAATTTCCCATGTCCTTTTTGCCTTTTGGCTCTGGTCGCCCATCTCAGGTAACCTATATCCTAGAAAGAGTTTGTCATAGTCTGTATTTGAGTCTTCGCGTATTGTTTGCATGACTCTTTCCTGAGTTTCCGGTTCAAGCTCTTCAAACAGTGCCTGTCCATATGGAATAAGCTCGTTTCCAAATATATGTTTTTGTAGCCATTCTGGTTTTCTTTCCATGTTACCAACTATATCTTTTGTGAATGGGAAAGCTTCTACCCAATCTTTCAGTCTTGCGTCGTTTATTTCTGTAGTTGGTTTTATTTTGTCAAGGAACATGTTTTTCAATACTAACATTTCATTTGGTACTGTCCATTTGAGTTTTCTTAAATATTCATCCCTTCTCGGTTCATTGTCTGCAAAGTAAGTTTTTATGACATTTTGTAAACTTTCGTTTGCAAGGTCATGTACAATAGGTTCTCTTCCTTCTCTCTCCCTAACTTTCTTTCTAAACTCTTCACCAAATATACCATCTCTATGGTTCTGTGTAGTTCTTTGAGATAAATGTTCTAGAACGTCAGGTGTTATATTTCCATCAGCCATGTTCATTTCATACTGGTCCAAAATATCTGCATTTTCATATCTTTCAATGGCATTAAAGCCGCGCTAAAATACCAGCTATATCTGGTTCACCATTGACTTCCATTGCGTCTACAACTTCTTGGAATTGTGGTTGTAAGTTTATGAACCACCTATCCGGGTTAGCTTTATGACCCCATCTCATTGTAGTTCCATCGTCTGCAGAAACAAAAGTAGGTTTGTTTCCATCTTGGTTAGGTTCTGAATGAACTTTAAACAATGTTTCATTTCTATATGTTTTCTTGAAATTTAACCTTTTATTTCACCGAGTTCATCCGAAGATTGAACGTTAAATGCTCGTAAGTAAAAAGGGTTGTTGTATTTGTGTACATTTTTTTTCAGTTCTTCCATTCTATGCTGAATATTTTCATCTGGTGTTGGAGTCTTTTGTATGTCGGCAAACATTTTTCGATATTCTTCTACTATGTCAGCCGAATTTTTTAGACTCTTGGAAATATTCCATATTCTCCGCATACTCTTGTTGAGGGTCAAGATTTTTCGGCTGTTCCAAATCTTCATCTAGTTCTGTGAAGTTAGTTTCCAAAGGAAGGACTTGTTCGTTTCCTTCAGGCTCTTCTAGCTGTTGTTGCTGAACTATTTCTTCCATGTCTGGTTGTATCTGAACTTCTTCCTGTGGAGTTTCTTGTACCTCATCTGCTGGCATTTCATATATTCCGAGACCGTTTTTAACAATTTCCCTTTCTAAGTCATCGGACTCAATAACCTTTTCTTCTTTCGTTCCGTCTCTATTTTTTACGCGTTTCATGACGAAAGTTGAATTGTCATTTAGCTCTGACATCAAATATCTCGGAGTAAATTCATCATGTCATTTGGATGATATGCTATTAAATCATATCCCTTAGCGAGCTTGTATTTTCCAGGTTTGAAATTATATCCATTTGGTGCTGAGCCATAAAGCTAAATAGGTTCGGGTCAGTATTTCCATCCTTGAACTTTCTAATAGCTTCTTTATATCTGTCACTAAAGTCTAACGTATCTGGGAAACCATAGTCTTCCTTAAGCCTTTTTAAGAATTCTTGGTTTCCTTGTTCTCTACTTCTTTTATGTCCTTGCTCTGTTTGTGGTTGTTGTTGTTGTGCAGGGTTTTGAACTGTTGGTTGTGGTTGTTGTTGTGCAGGGTTTTGAACTGTTGGTTGTGGTTGTTGTTGTGCAGGGTTTTGAACTGTTGGTTGTTGTGTTGGTTGTTGTGTTGGTTGTTGTGTTGGTTTTGGTGCATGCCTATGTCTGTGTCCATGTGACGATGTAAATGTTTTAGGTAGTCCTGGTGCAGGTGCTTCTCTTGGAGGGTTTGGTGGTATATAAATTCCAACAGCTGGTATATAAGTTCCACCAGCTGGCACATATGTTCCATCTGCAGCGTAATGTCCTACCTGACTTTTCGTTCTTAAGAAAGCATTTACTAGGTCTGTTTTGGTCTGTTGTAACTCTTTTTCTTGACTTTCCACAACAGTTGCTCTAACGGCGTCATAGGCACTTTGAACTGCCTGTCTCGTTGCTGCATCTGTTATTTTCGTCATATTTTGTGCTACTTCTCTTAACTCTTTGTCGAAACCTTCAGACTTCAGTTTCTTTCCAGATGAGAAGTCGTTCACTTGTTTCACCTTACTATGAAGAGCTTCGAAGGCGTTCTTAAAGTCAGCATTCGTTAAAGCTTCATTTGAACTATCTTCATCCGCTTGTATTTTTGTCCTTATTGACCCTATGAGTTGGGCTGCTTTAGCGTTGGCTTGGGCATCTAACCAGTCATTGTTAGCTTTTATATATTCTGCGCTTTTCATTGCCTTTTGCATAGCCGCGTCGTTATTTTTACTTTCTTGTGCTAAGTTTTCATACTGTACGGTTTGGTTTTGCAACTGTAAAAGTTTTTCTGCCTTTACATTTGCTTCAACTTCTTTTTTATACTCATCGCTATCCATATATGTCTTCAGGGCTTTTTGTTTTATCTCTTCATCTTTCAGTATTTTATATTGAGTAGTATGGTTTTTCAAATTTATGACATCTTGTTCCATTTTTGCTACTTCTGCTGCTTTTTCTGACACTTTTTTCGCATATTCCTCTGTACTTAGTTCTTTCAGTTGTTCTTCTTTCTTCTTTTTCTCTACGTTTAACTCATTGAGTTTCTTTGTGTGTCTGTCATATTCTAGTTTCTTTTCGTTTTCACTTATTTGTTTCTGTATGTCTATGTTTGACTTTTTGACATCTGTTATTTGATTTTTGAGTGAACTCAAATTCATTTGACTTTGAGGGTTATAAGCTGTTCCGTCTGCAGCTCCACCATAGCCTGCCATTTTCGCTAAAAGTGCCGCTCTTAAACCTCCACTCTGTGCACCAACAACTCGGTTTAAAAGCATAGGATTGCTTGACATTTGTTGCAACATAGTGGGGTCATTCAGCATTTGTTGTTGCAACTGTTGTTGTGGTGTCAGTCTTACTATTGGATGTTTCAATGCTCTCTTCCTCTTACGTATATTCTTACGTAGCTTACGTGGCATTTTAAGTGAAGTTAAAAAGCGGTTTTCGACAGATGTTTATATGACACTTTTTGTTCAGCACAAAAAACTACTCGGTCAAAGTGTTGTCAGTTTTGTAAAATAACGGTCCTATCTTGTTTTAAAAGGGGAAAGGCTTCTCAAAGTATACTTCCTTGGAACGCCTGTAACTTTTCCTGTAGCGAAGATAGACCCTTACTTGTCCGGACAAAGTTATACTATTTTGAGTGCTCTACAAAAAAGTCAACGGCGACGACTCTCAAAAACCGTTGTGTAAAAAGTTTTACCGTTGGACAAAAAAGTATGTATAGAAAACAAAAAACGTTTATAGTTCATTCAATATTTGAGATGGAACGGTTTGCCAACGGAGACTTTTCAATAAAATAAAAAAATAGAGGGGGTTACCGTTGACGAAAACGGTTTATTTTAAACTTTTCTATGAGTAGTCCGAAAAAAACAGTTTATTTTTGTCTAATGGCATTCGCTAGCGTGTTCGCTCCAAATTCACCTGAAGAAATTGCTTGCAAACTTTCAGCACCCACAGGTTTAGAGCCTCAATATCAAACTGCAGCATCTACACATTCTCCAAGCAGAACAGACAATTCGCTCAATCCAAAGCCACTTTCACTACCAAAAACAATACCAAACGAGCTCCGTATTACAAAGAACCACAGCAACGCTGAACTACGCAAAATACTACTCAGATTGTCTGAAGAATACTTCAATTCAAAGCCAGAAGAAAGAGTTCCTGCAACTTTTAACAAAGAATATTGTGAACAACTCAACAAAGTTCTTGCAGACTTTACCAAACTACAAAAAGAAACACCTGACCCATTCGAATTAGGTGACACAATTGTCAACTATTTTCCAACAATAACAAAGATAATGGTTGACAGAACTATATGTCAGCTTATTGAAAGTCTTCCACCCAAAGCTGCAAAAAAAGTCGAACAGTTTTGGGTCGAATTCAAATTAAAGAGTTATGGATATCAGGATGACGAAGAAGAACGTGAGTACGGACAAGAAACAGCAAAATGGCAATGTCTTAGCTCACTCAACCCCAAGTTCAAACCATTATTTTACTCAGACAACAACACAATTCAAGTACGCAAAATTGCTATTCATTTCGTTAACCAAGCAGAAGACATTGAAGAAGGAGACTCTATCTCAGTTTATGTTTGCTACTGCAAATTTTTCAAGGACGAATTTGGAGGACCAATTCTCATGCATGTCTTCAAGCCACGTCAGCAACTCTACGTTGAAACTGAAATAACACTCATGCATGGAATGTATCTCAAGTTTGAAAGCCAATTGGAAAACACATACAACATTTGGCTTTCATACATTCAGTTCGATACACCAGATGACTTTGATGTTGAAGAAGAAGACTCTACTCAAGAAGATGAACCACAAGACTCAATCCAAGAAGAGTCCTCCGAATTCACACCCGAAGACTAACAATTTTCCGAATAAAAACTTCAATTATACTAAACATCTTCAGGGCTAGAAGGCACGAAGTGCCTGGAAGCCCCACTACCTTTTTTTTTTTTTTTTTTTTTTTTTTTTTCAATCAGATTGTAAAGTCGAATTGGCATAATTTTTATCGAATATTCATTAAAAAATTGATTGATTGAGCGATGCCAGTAATATTTTATATTTTATATTAAATATTGATAATTTAAATCTAAATGCAAATTAATGTTGTTAACAAAAAGTATTGGAAATCTTAATATTAAGGTTTCTAAAAACACATATGAGTTCTATTATCCATGTGAAGATCCATCAGAGTGCACAGACTACGTTGTTGATATCCCAGCTGGTCGATACAAAGTTGAGAGTTATGGTGCCAGTGGTGGTTATTCTGATGACCACATTAGTGCATTTCAAGATCCATCTAACAACAACAAATGCTCAGAAGACATTGTCCTTCAATTCAAAGGAAATGCCAAATGCCGTAAATATGCTAGCATGGGTGGATCAGGTGGATATGTTTCAGGTATCCTTTCTTTGACTAACACCACTTGTGCCTACATCATGATTGGAGGACATGGACAATATGTCACTCCAACTTCTGTAGTTGAAGATCCATATTTGAAAGAAAATATGATTCCTGGCGGTTACGGCGGTGGCGGTTTTGCCATTAGATATTACTCCTTAAATGCACCTGGATCAGCGAGCGGTGGTAGCCGTACTGCATTAATGATTAATGAAGATGACATTTTCCATTCAATCCTTGTCGCAGGTGCTGGATCAGGAACTGATAACGCTGGCGGTTTTTATAGAAAGGAGATGATGGAAGCGGTGGTTGTGGCGGTAATTTGATTGGACAAGGATGGTGGTATAACGGAGATTATAATGATAGCTTCATTGCAAATTCATCTAATTTCTTCACGTATGGAAGTGGTGAATCAGCATCTGGTACAGGAAGCTACTCTCCTAATGGAGTTCAATCCTCATCAGGCGCAAATGATAGAGCAGGTGCAGGCAGTGGATGGTATGGAGTCTTTGCTTCGCATCAAGGGAATTCCGGTGCCGGTGGAGGTACTAGTTTTGCACTCACAGAGGGTGCAATAATCCCAGATGAAATGTCAGTTCGTGACAGCTTCTACGAAAACGAAGTTGTTGGTCATTACAACTTCAGTCTTTCAAGCGAATATGTTCTTACATCGGTTATTCACTCTGCGGGTATTTGGGTCGGCAACGGCATGTTTCGTATTACCAATCTTTCCATTATCATTCCAACATGCAAAATGATGCAATATTGTCGAAATATCCAATATTCTTATTTTGCAGTATTTATATTAATGTATTCTGAATAATTTCTCCATTTTTTCTGAGAATAAAAATTTTCATGGATTACCCTCTATTTTCAGGAATTACCGTCACTTTTTTCTCACATTCTAAAAAAGCTTCTATATCTCGACATATATAGACATTTTCGAAGCATTTTAAAAGAGGATATGATAGAAAAGATGTTGAATTTTATGATTTTGTACTTTGTATGGAAATATGAGACGTGAGATTTAATATGATTTGATTGCAAGTTGAAATTTTTATAATATATAAAGAGTGTTTTTATGATAAAATTTTTGCTCAAAAACAAAAATTTTGGTAAAACGGTAATTCCTGGCTGACGTTAAAATATGCTTTGTTCTCCACTAAAAATACTATTTAATGATATAAAAATCAATTATTTTGAGTATTCATAGAGTTTTTTGTTGAAACTTCAAACGCATGAAAACTACTATTAGAATAGATTAGATTGAAAATAAACAGCGGAAACAAATTCAGCACATTTTATATGATTTAGTGCTGTGACAAAAGTATATCATTCACACTCAAAGGAAAATCTGATTATCCCAATAAAATAGAAATAAATCAATAAAAAGTATAATAGATGCATTCTATTTGGATGATGATACTATATCATTTATCAAATTTTGAAAATATTTATTTTTCACGAATTCGAACCGAAACAAGACCTCGAACTCGTCAAAATTTTTAAAAATGAATATTTATCAAAATAAATGCAGGATTTGTTGATTATATCATTAATACTCCATTCTTTTAGTAAATACATGTGCATTAGCCTTTTCCTTGCAAAAGATTGAAATAGATTTTTCAATTTATTCGGATTAAAATATATTTTTCGTTTATCCATATCTATGTAAATACATTAAACATCATAACACTTTGAAATACTATTGTTTTAGTAATCAATTTCTTATCCTTATCATTTCTACAATTGGGATTATTCACTTCATCATATAAAAGTTCTAAAAATGTCAAAAAGTATTCATTTTAGGAATAAAAGACTTATTTTAAATTTAATATAATTATTTTTATATCTATACAAACAAATTGTGAGAACATTCAGGTGGCCCCATAAGTAATAATATATCAGTATTTTGATATGATACCTCATATATAAGGTATGATTAGAAAGCTGAAATCAGCTTTTTCAATTTTTCATCAGTGAAAATGTTTGATACCTCATACCTATTAAAATAGCCTAATTTCAGTCCCATCCCTCTTGTATTCGTTGAGATAAGGAGATTTGAAATTATGCAATTTCGACGCCGTTACCCTCTCCATTTGCTACAAAAATGTAAAGGATATATAACACTGTTGTATAAATTAATATTTTATTGTTATTTTTTAAAAATAATACTTCAATCATGCTAAAATTGAATTTTTTTGATGCAAAAAATAACTTTATACGGTAATTCCTGGAAATAGAGGGCAAACCCAAATTTTAGCTAAAAGTGACAGGAAAAAAAAGTTTAGTATTAAAAAAAGACCGATGAGAGCTTCGTTCGAAATATAGAGGGAACTGAGAATGCGCAACCATTCTCAGGGAATATTGGATGCTATTCCCGTTCCCTCTGTATGGAAAATTGAGGTTTTCAAAGGGAGTTAAAATAATATCAAATTTATACTAATTTACTTCAAAATACAAAAGTATTTGACAGCTAAAATTAGTTACTTTAGCAAGCCTATCAATACCCTTTTACGATTATTGCTACTTTTTCGAAATAAAAGTAAAAACAAATTTATACTAATTTACTTCAAAATACAAAAGTATTTGACAGCTAAAATTAGTTACTTTAGCAAGCCTATCAATACCCTTTTACGATTATTGCTACTTTTTCGAAATAAAATAAATTTATTATCAAAAACCTTTTTTTCTTAGTAAAAATAAACGAAATTTTTTACCTTATGAACTTTTGATGGAAATATGCAAATTTAAAATAATAAAGAAAGCCGCGAGCGAAGCGATCGGCTTAGTTCGAAGATTTTGATTCAAATCTTTGCTGATCTGTAATTCGCGGAAGCCGCGAGCGAATCGATCGGCTTAGGTCTAAGATTTTGATTCAAATCTTTGCTTATATTCCTTAAATTCTTTATGAAACTCGCAACAGTTCCATAAAAAATTTTAAATTCTAAACTGTCGAAATTACCGATCGGTAATCACACCCTTCATGGTGTGTCACTTTTTACAGTCATGTCACTTTTAGCTAAAATTACCCCTACTCGGAAATAGAGGGTAAATTAGATGTGATTAAAATTAATCTGATTAATCTGAGGTATAGTTTGTTGTATTTGAATACTTTAATTGATGAGATTTTGATAAAGTAAGTATTTATTACAAACCAGGAATTTATGTGCTAGAGTTAAAAATAAGAGTATTTGTCATTTTTCATAAAATTTAACCTTTTTTATTATTTTATGTTAATTCTTTAAATTGGGATTTCATATGAATATAAACGTCGCGTATATGATTACCCATGCGGTGATGATATTGTTCACTGTTATCCATACGAAGTATTCATCCACCCAGGTGCTTACAAGTTTGAACTTTGGGGTTCAAGTGGTGCCGACGTTGGTAATTCTATTGGAGGTCGTGGTTCATATGTTAGTGGTATTATCTCATTCAAAACATTCCAAACACTTTATTTATTTGTAGGTCCTGCAGGTTCATCCAGAAGTGTCGATGGCCTTCCATTCAATGGTGGCGGTAAAAATTCAGAGAACGGTGGGAACGGTGGTAGTTGCACCGATATCCGTCTTTCCAACGGTACTAACTTTGAATCATTGAAGAGTCGTATTATCGTAAGTTCAGGCGGAGGCAGCTCCACCTACTATAGTGACAACATCGGAAACGGTGGGTATGGAGGCATTTTTGAAGGATGTAAAGGTCAACTTGTTTATACACATAAATATTATGATATTTCTTCATTACCAAATCCACCTACTGGCGCTATTATTTCACAAGGTGGTTATGGAGCAAACAGAACCAGATATGATAATTCAATTACAAAAGGGAGTAATGGATATTTTGAAAAAGGAGGTGATAGTGATCCAATCTCTCATTTTGGAAATGGCGGAGGTTGTGGGTATTTTGGAGGTGGTGCAGGAATAGATGGAACAGGTATAGTAGCGAGTGGTGCAGGAGGTTCTTCGTATGTATCAGGCTATGAAGGATTTCTTTCTATCGATGATAGTTCTGTCTCTGAAACAAACTATAGAATGTCTTCTTCATCAGTCCATTCAAGTGGACTCAAGTTCACAAGTGTTGTTGTTCGAAACGGCAACGAAGAATTTCTTTCACCCGAAGGCATTTCAGAGACTGGCCACAAAGGCAACGGTTGTATTGTTATCACCACATTATACATTTCCATTTATTCATGCATCATCAATAATAATGTCTATTCTATACTTAAATATTTGTCGTTCATGCTTTTTCTTTCAAAATAAAAATGATCTTTCTAATGAAATTTAGTTCTTTTCCGTTTTAGATAACAATAGTTATTAGTGGTTTTTTTCCCATATATTAATACATTTCAATAGATCTCATAAACATAAAATCATTCTTAAATATTAAGGATTAAGTAAATAATAGACCTCTCGAATGATTGTTTTAGATCTAATTTTTAATTTGCTAACCTTTATATGTTTGTCACTTTTAGAAAATTTAAAATTTTGTGAAGTTTTACGGGCGCTTAGGCGCCCGAAAATTTCATAAAATTTGGATTATGTGAACAATGATTATTTTTGCTTCTAATGTAAATTTACATTTGAATCAAAAATAATCGTAGTTCACATAATTTAATTTTTAAATTTCAAAACAATATTATGATCAGAATAATGAATCATTTCTTCACTATTTCAGTACATCAAGGTTAAATGTAAGAAAGGCTTTCGGAAGAAATTGGTTATTAATCTTTCATCACGATTCAATTGGAGAAACTTATTTCACAGAAGAAACAAGGAAACATTGCTTAGAAGAACAACGATATAGCATCATTGATAATGAAGAATTATATCGACAATCATATCTCCGCCACAGAAAATATCGTTTTTTTCTTGAATATCCAGACATTTACTCATATCGAATCTTTACCCAACCAAACTATATCACTGCTAATTCTAGCACTGATACTCATAAATATGAGTCTGGAGATAATTGGAAGAATTTTCATGGATTATCACTTTCTGCTGATACAAAAAATACTTTGATAGATGGAACTCCAGGAGCATCGTTAAATAGTTGGGCTTTTGCTATTGGTGTTACAAGTAACTATTATAAACCAAGAATTCCAGGACCCGTATTGTGTTTGGTTTATAACGTTAATCTTTGGATTGAAATTCCCTCCGAAAAATCATGTGCCATGAAATACCACTTTAATATTGAACATGCATTTTTATATATTTTTATTCTGTTATATAAATACTAATTATATTCCCCTACATCTTTTTTGTGATTTTTCATTTAATCTCATTAATTTTTGGAGATAATTAGAGAATAAAAGAACTTTGTGCTCTGGTGAATCAAATTTATGATACGTCAAATCTGAAGGTATTTGGGAGAAATAGAAGCAGACATTCAATTTCAGCCTTATTAACAGATCATCAAAATAAACGAATCTCTGACAAGAAATGCATCAATTTCGAAAACACAATTAAACAATGAAAAATTAAGATTAAACTCATTCTTACTAGTTAAAGTGTGTTTGGTAGATGTTGTTTTGTATTTGTATTTAAAACTTCTACTCTATTATTAGAATTTGTTTGAGTTTATTTCACAGATAAGATTACACTTATGACTAGAATTGTATCCTAATTGGATGTGAAGTTTAAAATATGAATAAATTCTTAAATTTTTGTAAATCTTGAAAATAAAAAAATGCCAACATAAATTTTTATAAAAAATACCAAAAAAGTGACATAAAATGTTTTGATTTTCAACTTCACGGGATTATATATCCCTTGATAAATATAATGTCTTGGCAATTTTAATTAAACAATCTTTACACTTAAATAATATTATGTCCATATTAAATAAAAACTATTCTTTGTGTGCTAAACGAAATTTTAGAAGTAATTCATTCAAATATTTTTATGGAATGTATGAAAATGAAACATTTATTAAGACAGTTCTTCGATTCAGGTCCAAGTCTTGATACTTGGACACATTTTTATGAAAATTCAGTTATCACTGAAAAACACACCGAAAATGAAATATTTAGTCGATCAAAACAAGGAAATTATTATATTACAACATGTTTATTCAATGAAATTCAAGGAGTTGTTGTCTATATAGACATCAATGATAAAACAAAACTTCTTATTTCTATTTCTGAATTCAATGGCACAAAAACTCCATCTCAAACAGTTTATTATAGATATGGAAGTTGTGTTATCTATCAAACATGTGCCACAAAATCTATACAAACAGGATATGATGATAATGATGGAGTATTTTTATGTTCATTTATAGCAAATACAAACAACAAAAATATTTTTGAAGATTCAACAGTCTTTGATTGTGGAGAAATATATACAGGACAGTCGATTAATTTTTTATATTACGGAAATCTTAGTTATTCACGAAATAACATAACAAATAACAAATGTAATAAAGATGTTTCACTTGAAATTTATTCAAACCAGAAATACAACATCAGTCAATCATCTTTCATTGATAACAAAGCATACTATGAATGCTTTTGTTTTGTTTCTAATGGTCCACATCAATTTTATTTATGTAATATCATGAGAAACAATGCTAGTAAATGTTTTTGGTTATTTAAAGCAACAGTTACCTTTGAATCATGTTCAATCAAAAATAATAATTGTACAGAAACATTTGATTTATCTGGTTCAAGTTCAGCTACAATCATTAATAGTGATTATAATGGACAAACATCAAGTGTAACAATAATAAATTCAACAAACCATTCATACAACAAATTATCACATCTTTCTACAGGACTTTGTGAAGCAAAAAATAAAATTGAAAATAATTTTGAAGAGAGAACAATTCCATTTTTTGCAATTCTTGATGAATCATTAGATTTTTTTTATCTTTGGGTTAGTTGATCCGGTTTTAATGATTGCCATAAAAGATTATTTTTGAGACTCATGAGGAAATATCCAATATTAAAAGTTGAAATCCCATCAATGGTAGATGGAATATAGTTTCGATGATATCACAAATGTAATGAAAGCTTTCAATTTATTTGTAAGTCTGGGACTCATTCGAAAGAAGAAAATAAGATGTTTATTTTTATCTAGAATTTTAAGATGGCATTAATAATACAAAAACATAAATAAATAGTATAAGAATGTTATTTTGATAGAAACATAGATGCTCACAAGAAATAAAGGCTTCAATACAAGTGATGATGCAAAAACCACTGCCTTTAGGGCCAAATGTGCTAATATTGCCATCAGGTTCCATAAATTGTTGACTTCCATTAAACATGATTGTATTTTCAAATCTCCAATCATATGAAATATTTTCACAACCTTCGAAACCCGAAATATATGAGCTTCTACCACCTCCTGAGCTCCGATCATCAGAATGATATCCAGATCCGCCTCCATACCATCCAGAACCACCTGCACCTGCTGTATCTGTATAGAATCCAGGGGTAGAATTAGCTCCAATACCAAATTCTCCGTCGAATTGACCTTTTCCTCCTGAACTTTGATTTGCACCTTCTCCTATGACGCAATCTGATCCATCAATACTTATTCCATTTTGTCTGATTAATCCTCCTGCATAACCAATATAACTCAATTCATGAGTTTCTCCTGGAGCACCGCTGACAATTACTCTTGATCTAAAATCAGAGATATTCAATCGAATGTCTGTAGCTCCATCGCCACCGATGCTTCTATAGGCATTATTATATATCCCAATAATAGTACTATTGCCACCACCGTTATTACCTCCATAGCCATGTAATTCATTTAAATATTGTGCAACGCCTCCAACAAAAATATAAAATTCTTCTCTTTTGAATGTATATCGATCTCCTCGCACATATGCACCTCCACCAATTCGTCCTGCGCCCCAAAGTTCATATCGATATAAACCTCTTTCAATTCTTACTTTATAAGGCGGACAATATATTTGAGATTCACATTGATATGGGAAATAATACTTTTTCCCATATCTATGTGTTATTGTAACATCAAAATTCAATAAGGAAAACTTATTTTAATCCTCATTAATTTTTTTACTTGTATCTTACAAAGATATTTTAATTGATATTATGTAGGGTCAACAATTTTATACCAAAAATGATCCAATGAAGAAAATTCGAAAAGATTGGGATTCATATTTCCAATCAAATTTACCTAAAGAAGAATTTAGGTTTCAAAGCACTAAGCTTGATGCAAGAGAATATAATTATCATGTTTCATCATGCAACTTTGACTCAGTAAATACACAAGGTTATGTTCATTTTCGAAACAAACAACACTGCAATCAAATTTCTTATTGATACTACACTTTTCAATAACTGCAGCAACACCGAAAATGGTGGCTGTATTTCATATAGCCAAGAAGGCGAATTTATTCAAGATCGAATTTGTAGTTATGATTCCAGAGTTGATGATCAAGACGACTTTGGTGTTTATTGCTTCATTGATGTAACAAACACATCAGAATTTAAAAATTTTATTCATGATAGTTCTTTAACCAAAAGTTTTTATGATTGTTATGCCAGTGGATTCGGAAACATTTTTTTGCAAAATGGCAAAATCCAAATCAAATCAATTAATGTATCATATGAACATATAATGCGTGATGATTTTTACACAATTTATTTTCTAATGTCATACAGAAAGCATAACATTAGACCATATAAGTGGCACAGAAATATTTCAACTTTTCAATTGCAATATTTTAGAAGTATATTATGGAAATGTTTGTGGTGCATAATCTGCAATTGTTCATATTAAGAATTGCAGTATTTTAAGATGCACTCCTACAGACTATTTCCTGAATTTTAATTCGGAAATTATAATAGATGGCTGTTATTTTGATGTTTCCAACCCACATTTCTTTGGAACTGTTAACTTTACAAACAATGTTACAAGTTATTTTACTCACAATCTTTCCCATTTTTCATCTGCATTTTGTTATGCAGAAAATCCTATTATATATTTGAAACAGCAAAAAAATTACACACTCGATCTTGATATTTCTCTTCTTATTGGTTCATCAGCCAATATATCTTTAGTAAAAAAGTAGTACTTACTTATTTTCATTGAAAAAAATTACTAGAAAAAGATTCTATAAAAACAAAGTTCAATTTTTTGAACAATTATTTGATTATCGACTTCTTTTAAGCTAGCTAAAATAACATATTCATTATCTGAGTTTTTTCATGTAATTATTCATTTAATATTTATATGCAATATATTCAGACTCTGGTCATTAAGGAGATACCGTAGGATCATTAAAAGAATATAACATCGCACAAAGCAGAGGTAAAGGATGAACATATACAGGGGGAGGCATCAACCTTGATAATGGTAAATTCTGTAAAGGAGATTAACACAACCTCAGAACTTCAGGAGGTTGTTCATGATACTTTGGTGGTGGAACATCTGATGATTATGTTTCAGATAGTAGAAGTTGTTACATTTAGTGGACATGAAGTTTGTTTTTCTGTCATCAAATAATCAAAAAATAGATAATATATAGGGTGTCCAAAGGTGTGTTTAGCACAAATCTGAATACTGCGAATAGAAATAAACAAGTTACATATATATAAAGTTTATTTAAATATAATCACCATTGGATTCAATCACGCGTTCGCAGCGATCGATCCAGGCTTGAAAGACACGCTTTAAATCATCATGAGAAAATTGCTCAAATTGCTCTCTTACAAAATTTTCAAGATCATCTGGACTCGCGAATTCGCGTCCTTCAGCTCTCTTTTTTAGCGTGCCGAATAAATAAAAGTCAGAGGGTGCAATATCAGGTGAATAAATTGGGTTTGGAACAACTTTGACATTGTTTTCCACCAAGTAATTCATTACCTTATGACTTTTGTGAACTCTTGAATTATCAAAATGAATTGCAAACTTTTGTTTTTGTTGTTTGGATTTCTCAAACTCATCAGAATTGATAATTTGAGTAAGAACATTGTCAATTAGATACTGAGCATTCATCGTATTAGGTTTTTGAAGAATATCAATTGCGATGATGCCATTCACCCCAAAAAACCGACAACATCATCATTGGTGTGTCAATTTTTTCTTCGGGAATGTTTGCGGATTTTCATCCTTCGGGATCCACATGATTTTGGCTTCTGTTGCATATTGAAACCAAGACTCGTCCCCTGTTACTAAAAAGCGAAACTTCTTGGATTGATACGCACGCAATATAGAGAGGAGCTCTTTCGAAGATTGGACTCTAGATTTTTTTGAACTGAATTAAGGTTGTGCGGAACCCAACGTGTATACGCTAGTTTGTAGTTCAAAGAATTGTGCAGATAATAACTGACTGTTGTACTTGGTATCTTTGTCATCTCCTCTATCCTTCTGAGTGATGCTCTTGGGTCTTCATCTAGCGCTTGAAGAATTGCTTTGATTTTTCTTTGATCCGGCGATTTTTTGTCAATTTTTATGATGGACGCCCTTTTGTTCATGAAGTGATACATCCTAACATGATACGTTACAGTGGAATAGCTAGGAGCATCCATATATCTTTCAAAGCCCAAAGAGATATCTCAGTCCACTTTTCAGGATAGAAATTCGAAGAAACAGTTATTCTTGATTGCCTTTTGTTTTAGAGAAAACTTCAATGTGATAAAGTTTATCAAGAAATGCATCAATTTGGAAAATAAATATTAAACAATGAAAAAATTAAAATTAAATTCATTCTTTCTAATTAAAGTGTGTTTGGTAGATGTTGTTTTGTATTTGCTCTTAAAACTTCTACTTTATTATTATACTAGAGTCAAAATCTCGAGCACAAAATTGACATTGAATACTTGTAAGTATTGAATTCCCATGTAAACTATTCATTTCTATCGTTTTTTGTAGTCCACATTTCCTCACTCTCGATTTTACTCATAAAAATATTAAAAAATCACTATACAATATATAAAATATATATTTATATGGTTAAAACAATGTTATTTTTGCGAGATTTCATCTGAAATTAAAATTAGGGATTTTTGAATTTTGAACTAAAATTTGTGATTGGCAAATATTGAATAATCGATTGGAATATGAAAGAAATACTTTAAAATTGAATAGAATGTGCCAATGAAGGGGCACAAACTTGCCCAGTGAGGTGAAGTGAAAAGTGACGGGTTTACATGTCAGAAATGTAAAGTGTCAGATTTGAAACAAAAAATGGATTAATTTATTATTATATGATAGAGAGATTTGGTAAGTTACTATCAAATTTGTAAGTAAGGGAAAAAAAGTAAGAAAGAAAAAAAAATTAAAAAAAAATAAAAAGCCACTCGCTTCGCTCGCGGGAGACAAAAAGAACAAATTCGAAAAAAGATTGTATGAAATTACGAAACTAAGCCGCGAGCGAAGCGAGTGGCTTAAGAAAAGAACAGATTCGAAAAAAGATTGTATGAAATTACGAAACTAAGCCACTCGCTTCGCTCGCGGCTTAAGAAAAGAACAAATTCGAAAAAAGATTGTATGAAATTACGAAACTAAGCCGCGAGCGAAGCGAGTGGCTTAAGAAAAGAGCAGATTCGAAAAAAGATTGTATGAAATTACGAAACTAAGCCACTCGCTTCGCTCGCGGCTTAAGAAAAGAACAGTTTCGAAAAAAGATTGTATGAAATTTTAATTCTTTATTTTTTAGGATTGTTAGCTTTGTAAGATTGCTTTCTCACAAGAGAAAACAAGTATAAGGTTTAAGCTGTATGTATTAAAGTTATAAATATTTGATTTTAAAAAAAATCAAGATTTTAAACTTTAAAGGTATTAATTATGATTATCTTTCTTTAGCTTTGCATGCTGTATGCTACTTTTGGAAACTGCTCTATTGTATTAGAATGTTTTTAAATTTTGCACCTAAAAATGCGTAATATTAAAAATTAAGGTATTAATTATGATTATCTTTCTTTAGCTTTACATGCTGTATGCTACTTTTGTCTTTGAGACATTCCATGATTTAAGTTAAGAAGCTTTAAAAAATGCAAAAAAATTGAATACTTTACTGGCTGGGCAAATTTGTCGCCGCCTCTGTGCCGATAGAATTTTTCTCACAATTTTAAAAAGTTGTTCAAATCCTATTTTTGATTGAGTTTTTGCAATTGTTATATATCAAGTGACAAGCTAAAAATAAAATTTTTGTTGCACTACTATTTTTGCAACAATTTGTAAATTACGTGCATCCCTTGTATTCCAGTGATCAACATCGAGATTACATATTGTAAGAAATCCTTTTGAAGTAGATCTCTATTTGAATTCAAATTCGGACAGTCTATTTCATGTTGCTTCGTGAGAATGTATATAATTTGCAATGTGAATATTATATAATTGATTCTGTATAAATAAGTAATTATGCTTTAGGAAACTGATCGGCATTGCATGAGATCTAATCTTATAATAATTTTTTAGATATGTTGAAATATGTAATATTTAGCTTCAATATCATTTATTATGGTGTGTCTTTGCTGTTTTTTTGATATTGGATATCAATGACTCTTCTGTGAACGAAAAAATCATATAAATCATTAAATTCTAAACGTAAGCGAAACTCATTCAATTTATTATTAGAATCAAATCTATTTTAAAATTGAGCTATTCGTTAAATCACAAAAGGATACTTTATATTTTTAGTCAAAATTTGTTGATAGGAGCTTATTGGCGCAATCTCATGTTCTTCCTGGAAGCAGCGCACAGACCAGTCAGAAGCGCTCCTTCCAGGACCAGAAAGACTAGAGGGGGGTCCTGACCTTGAGAAAGGACCCCCTTCCAGGTCTTTCTCCAAGGAACATTGTGCCATTGTGGGAGACATGCAGAGGCAATGTCTCCCAGAATGATACATTGCGACCAACACGAGTGAATGGGACACTCTATTCTTTCAATTTTCTCATTAATATTTTATATTTTTTTATTAGATCAATAAATAAACTCTTTTAATGTTCACAATTACATAAATCCATATGAATCAATTCGCTATTTATTTAGTCTCTAATTTTAATAGCTTTTTTGAATCTTGCAATCTAAATAATTAATATATGCAGGTCATTTTATTTTTTTTCTTAATTACATTATATATAATAATAGATTATATGTCCAAATCGAACAAATTGTGAATTTTTACTTTTGAATGGTATTCAAATTTACCCTCTCCTAAGAAAATGCCCCAACAATAGAATTTGTTTGTGTTTCTTTCACAGATAAGATTACACTTATGACTAGAATTGCATCCTAATTGGATGTGAAGTTTAAAATATGAATGAATTCTTAGATTCTTGTAAATCTTGAAAATAAAAAAATGCCAACATAAATTTTTATAAAAAAATACCAAAAAAGTGACATAAAATGTTTTGATTTTCAACTTCAAGGGATTATATATCCCTTGATAAATATAATGTCTTGGCAATTTTAATTAAACAATCTTTACACTTAAATAATATTATGTCCATATTAAATAAAAACTATTCTTTGTGTGCTAAACGAAATTTTAGGAGTAATTCATTCAAATATTTTTATGGAATGTATGAAAATGAAACATTTATTAAGACAGTTCTTCGATTCAGGTCCAAGTCTTGATACTTGGACACATTTTTATGAAAATTCAGTTATCACTGAAAAACACACCGAAAATGAAATATTTAGTCGATCAAAACAAGGAAATTATTATGTTACAACATGTTTATTCAATGAAATTAAAGAAGTTGTTGTCAGTATAAACATCAATGATCAAACAAAACTTCTTATTTCTATTTCTGAATTCAATGGCACAAAAACTCCATCTCAAACAGTTTATTATAGATATGGAAGTTGTGTTATCTATCAAACATGTGCCACAAAATCTATACAAACAAGTTGGGGTGAAGGAGTATTTTTATGTTCATATATGTCATCATCAACTTCAAACAACAAAAACATTTTTGAAGATTCAACAGTCTTTGATTGTGGTGAAGGAGGAAGACACAACAGAAAATGCAGAAATTTTATTTGAAGAAGAAGTTAGACAAATTACTGAACCGCAGAAAGAATATGAACTAGACCAGTTGGAACAAGCTGATTTAATAAGAGATTATAAAGAATATGAACTCGCTAAGATTGCAATAGAAGCAGCAGAAAAGAAGTTAAAGGTATGGGGTCATTATGCACAAAAATATTATGAGTAAAAGAAAATAAAATTTTATTTTTAATTTTTCACGAAATAAAAAATAAAGTTAGTTTTTATTTTATTTTTATTTTTTTATTTTTATATAAATATGATTACAAAAATCGAAACATCCGCACTTTCGATATCAACGGCACCAAATTCATTAGTCATGAATCCTACGTCAATGTTAGTAGAAATGAAAAACTTCATTCCTTCTTCATTTACTTTCGAAACAGAAATACAAAAAATTAAGCAGGAACTTTTAACAAGTAATTTAGACTGTAGCGCGAAAGATGAAACAAATGGAGAGGAGTTATATGAAATGCAAGATATCATAGACCATTTACCTAAATTACCTGAAGTTCAGCAACAGAAACTAACTATTCCTGAATTCGATGAAATTGAATTTAAAGTTACTGATTCAGCAGAAATTAAGAAATTCATTCGTAAGGTAAATTCTGAATTCTTAGGTTTTCATTGTAACCACAAGATTATGGATAAAGACTGCGACATGGTTTATAAAAACATTTCTGATATTTATAAATCTGAGGAGTTTAAGACATACGATAGTTTTGTTTCATTAGCTGCTAGATGTGTGTGGGAGATTAGAGATAAAGACAGAAGAGGTAAAGTATGGCATGAACAGATAAAACCAACTGCTTCAGATTTAAAGAAAGCCATTGATGCTTTAGTTATTTTAGCAGGTAAGGTTTCAGAATATAACGCAAAAATGAATCCTCAGTGTTCGAAATGTAAAGCAGCAATTAGGAAATATAACTATTCAGTAAAAGAGATAGAAAGAATGAGAAACGATTACGCAGACCTAAAGAAAGAAGCAGAGAAGCTGGCAGAAGATAAAATGAACATGTTAGAATTTCTGAATAAAAACTATCCCACAGCCGATGATTTCCTTTTATCTGATGTCAAGAAGAAGTATAAAGAAACTTTCGGTATCGTTAAAACTTTTGATATATTAACTGAAGAAATAGAAGCTACAAAAATATTTAAAATTTCACGAATTCATAACGTATATCACGTTAAACGTTTGTAAAATGACCGGGGTAGAAATCAGGTTAGATATCGGAGTATATCTACCCTTTTCAACTAAAAATATATTTTTGCTTTAATTAAATGTTTAACATGGCGAATGTTGATGAAAACCATATGGACAAATTATATGAAAAAATTAATAATGATTACCCCTCATTAACCAGGGAAATGACGGATTCTATAGTTCGTAAATTCGATGAAATACAGGATATGTGGTTCGACAGATTCGACATGAACGATAAGGAAAACAGAAAGAACGATAACAATTTACTTACTAAAAGAATCCTAAAATCTAAAATAGGTGAAGCTTCAACATTTAATACAGTACATAACTTTTACACCACTGTTTATATTTTCAATAATTTATTTAACGATGAACGAGAAAGAAAAAGTATGTTTAACGGAAGAAATGAATATGATTTTATCCTTTGTGCTGTTCGGGATGTTGACATGAAACTAAAGAAAATATTCTTATTACAAAATGATACCGTTGAAGATGAAGTCAATGAGTTTTTAAACACTGATATGCATGAACTTGAAAAATTAATGACTAAATGTTATGAAAAATTAATGGGGTAGAAATGAGGGTAGATATCGGGTTAGAAATACCCTTTCAACTAAAAATATTTTTTGGTTTAAGGGTGCACCCGTATGTACGTTTATTTGAGAGGAGGAGGATTACCTCTCAATTTTGAGGGATTCGTTAGTTTATTTTCTCGATGAATATGCAATAAAATTTGATTTTTACCTTATCAATATACTTCATCTAATATACACATGTTCATGTAAAAACTTTTTCCAAAATCCTCAGGAATTAAGGGATTTTTGAATTTTAAGAATTTTTTTCGAATTTTTTCGAAAAAAATATTTTCAGAACAGCCTTAACGGCTGAGATTTAGGAACAATGTTAAGTATCAAAAAGAAAGGAGATCTGATATAGACAACATATATTGTTTCATATTAAGTTCTGTCAAAATGTAAGCTATTGAATTTTTTGAGAGGGAAATAATCGTCGAGGAAGTAAAAAGTGACGCTTTAGGAAATATTATTAGAAATATGATAATAAATATATTTGGAAAAAATATGTTTTTTTTCAAAAATTGAAATGTTCATAGAATATTTTGAAATATGTAGGGAATTGAATTCGGTAATATATGATAAACAGGATTTTTAAATTTCAAGGAAAAATAGCTTTTGTGAATACTTTTGAGAACTCTTCTCAAAGATCATGATTCAAATATATTAAGAAGCCAAAATATTAGAGATGAGTTCACAATCAAAATTTTCTCACTTTTCTTCCAAATTGACATCCTTACTCACCACTTTCAAGTTTTTCATACATATATCTTACCCATTCATTTGGAATACGAGGTCTCGAGTTTTCGTTCATTTTTTTTACTTTACAAAACTGTTTATTTTTCAGAATTTTTAAATTTGAAAAAATCCATTCTATATCTGATAAATAATATATTATTTTTCAATCAAAATATTTTGATTATCATCTCAAAAGTGTTCTCAAAACCTAGTTTTTCTTATTTTGGATAATCTTAATATTTATATTATTATAAACTAATTGAACACCATATGTTTTTGTATACTTTTACAAAAAAATTGATAGATTTGTGATACTTCCCCCGACGATAGAATTGAATAGCTTACATTTTGACAGAACTTAATATGGAACAATATCGTTGAAAGTTGAAAAAATCTCTAATATTTGAGCCCAAAATTTCAAATTTTAATTTTTTGAAAAAAGAGGCCACCCGTATGTACGTTTATTTGAGAGGAGGAGGATTATATTTTTGAAAGGGTGAAACATTATGAATATGTTAATTATATAATAATATGTATTATTATAAAAAAGAAAAAATAAAGCACGTTAAAATTTTTCTATCTTGATTTTTTACAAAATCTACTTAGAATTATGCAAAATATGACTAAATAATTATAAATTTCAAGTTATTATTTTAATTTTGATAAATAATTTAAATTTCAAAATATCAAGTTCAGTTCGACTATGTATGTGGTAATTCCTCAATAAAGTGCCAAAACCCTATTAAAATATATGAACATTTTCAACATTTTAATGTTTTTATTTAAAAATTTGATGGAATATGAGCTTCAAACAATTATTATGTAAATAAAAATAATTAAATATATGTATTTATTCGTATTACAACCGTAGTAAGTCGCTTCCTTTCTTCTTCTACTGAGATTTGAATTTGATTTCGAATTGTAAAGAGATTCAAAGGGAAAATACTAGCGGATAAAAACTACCTACATGAAAGGGTCATAATGGAGTCAGGTTGTATTTTTTGATATTTTTTGCTTTTCGAGCCTAAATAGGTAGCCAAGATAATGCCTAAAAATAAGGTTCTAAATTCTGAAGTTTACATGATCCTCTCGTGTGCACCTTAAATTTTACTGACTGACTGTAACTAATTTTTTATAAAAATAATTTTAGTGTTTATAATGCCTCAGGGTCTATTTCCTCAATCATTTCCGTTCCTTCTTCATCAAATTCAATCGTTGCTTCCTCAATTACTGATAGGAGCTTATTGATTATATCTTTATTCGTTATCGTCTTCAGAGATGAAGGATAATATTTCATTATTACTTCACCTTTCTTGTATTCTTTCTGCTGCGATAAATCTAAAACGATACTGAAAAATTCAGCGTTGGAGTTCTTCATAATCGTATAATGAGAATCTTTAATATTTACAAATATTCCTCTTTGTTTAAGTAATACTGCTATTTCATGTGGTGTGTAACGTTTTCTGTCAATAATGATAGCGTATGGTTTAACGAACTGACCGTATTTAGATTCTTTCACAAACTTTTTATTTAATATTGCGTTCACGTTTTTTCCATTTATGAATTCATTCTTAACAGCAGTAGCGAGAGCATTGTATGAATAAAACTTGTACTCAGACATTATTTTATTAAAATTAAAAATATAAATTTTTAAAAAAATAACTTTAAAAAATAAATTTTATTTTTTACGGAAAATATTTTTTTATTTTCCATAAAAGATGTATAAAAAGCTATCTAGATTAGACCATGAAGAAATTAAGAAGTTATTGAAGAATGCTGACATTGAAGTTAGCAAAAGATATGCGACTAACAAATCATCATTAGCTAAATACCTCAATGATTACAGAGGTGAAATCACTTACGAGAAAATTAATGATTACATTAATAACAAAACATTTCCTTTAAATGATATTCAGGTTAATTTATATCATAAACAATCAGTACCGAAGGAAGTTAGGCAGGAAATTCATGATATGATGAATGTTGATGTAGGAAGGACAAGGACAGCAGTACCGAAGGAAGTAAGAAAAGAAATGTATGATATAACTAATGTTGATGTAGGAAAGACGCGTAAGGCGGTACAGAAGGAAGTTAGGCAGGAAATGCATGATATAACTAATGTTAATGTAGGTGAAACGAGAAAGAAGAAAAGCGATGAAGAAAAGAAAAATATAGCTGTAAAATATGCAAAAGCAATTGCACAATTACGCAAAGCAAACGAAGTAATTAAATCTATAGATGATAAAGCTCTTGATGGTGAGAAATGGTTAAAGAAGGATGAAAATAATAAACGCAAAAATGTTAAATCAGGAAATAGAATCATAGATTTTAACATTAAAGAACTCAATGAAGAAAACAGAAATTACCTACATGAACGTTTCGGAAAAATGTTTATTAGGATTCTGCAGAAGATAAAAGTAAATTCACAGCAAAAATGGATGATTTGTTATAAACTCGATGGTAAATTTACTAATTCAACATTGAATATCGAGAACATCGGAGCTTTACTTCATCAGTTAAAGCAAGAAAACTTTATAACAGAGATTGAAGCAAACACAGCTGGAATAATTGAAAAACATTATGATTTCTTCATGACAAATATTAAGAACCTCGAAGAAATTAAAATGTATGATTTAACTGAATATGAAGGATTAA